CAGGGAGCTCGAAGCGAAGCAGAAGCATAGCATGAGCATCATTTGCCAGAGGAGCGCGCGGATGTCTTGGGCGCTGATCCCAGAGATCCGCCCGGACCTCCGAAAGTGTCCGTTCATGCCGTTTGCATGATGCAATCGATCGAAGAAAAAGAAACGCCATACAGTCGGGGCCCTGAAGAAGGAACCCTTTTCGTTGGGGAGGGGCTCCGCGTTCCTTACGTGTTTCACAGCTTGCCCCAGGCTTTCCGTATGTCTTCGACCGGAAATCGAAGGTAAAATTATAGGAAAAAAGGGGCCTCGCTCCTTATTTAGGGCTCCGTAGGTCAACGCCCCGACTGTAGCAGGGGGGGCGCCGCCCCCTGGCGAGCCTCGCGCGCCAGGGCGGGGGGCCCAGCGCAGATCCCAGAAAGCTGCGCGGAGCGCCACAAGTTGATGTGCATGCTGTTTGTTATCTTTTTTTTCGGGAGAGGGAAAACACACAGGCCCAGGTCATCGTCGCCCCCCAGGGAAAGAAAGTGACATGTAGGAAGTGGGGGGGGGGACGGACGAACACCCAGAAGACATGGAAAAATATGGGGAACGCGATTAGATGTAGTTATGTATGTATGTATGTATGTATGTATGTATGTATGTATGTATGCATGCATGCATGCATGCATGCATGTATGTATGTATGTATGTATGCATGTATGTATGTATGTATGTATGTATGTATGTATGTATGTATGTATGTATGTATGTGTGTGTGTGTGTGTCCCTGGGCCCCTTCAGTTTTTTTGTTGTTGTAGCATCTTCTCCTCATCGAAGGGACCCGAGGAGACTCGACGCAGTGCCTGTGGCACGGTGGCGGATTACCTCGGCGAGGGCCTGCCCGTCCACCGCGTGGCGCTGCGCCCGCGGGGCACAAACAGCCCCGATGCAGCCAGCATTCGGTCGGGCCTGTCCCTCTACAGGAGGAATGTTCAACGACAGGCGAAGAATAGTCCAGGGGGGCATTTTTGGGGAGCGTTCGTTTGGAGCATGGTGGAATAGGTTGTTGCTATTGTTTAGGTGTCATGCAACACCTTTCTGCAGGGAGACAGGCCCGACCTAAGAGTCTCGATGCAGCCAGCATTAGGTCGGGCCTCTCCCTCTACTACAGGAGGAATATTCAAAGATAGTCAAAACATACGCTGGAAACGATGTTTTGAATCTATGGGTTGACCATTTGGGGGTATTTCTTGGGCGTTCTTGATTTTTTGCCCCAAATCCCCCCTGTATGGGGGGCACGTCCGACCTAAAGCCAGCAGGGTGATCGTTGTCTCATTCATTGTTTTGCCGATCGGCGTGGGCCCTTGCACCCTCTCCCCCCCCAATGGAGTAGATCTTCGCTGCTTTTAGCGCCTCCGCCCCCCCTTCCCCCCCGCCTCCGCCCAATGTCGAAGCGCCGAATAAGAGCACGTTCACCAGCACCCAGGACAGGACGTATATGTGCAAGACGGCGGTGGCAGATGGTGGAGGTAGTCAGGGGAGGAGCAGGTACCCTTACTGCTGCCCTGCCCTCGTTTTCGCCTTTTTGGGCCTGTCGCCACGTCTGGATTCGGTTTGAAGTTCTGGTCAGAACGTGCCCAAGGAGAGGTCGAGGGAGCAGCGGAATCAGTACCGCTTCGTCCCCCCAGGTAGTTCTCAAGAGCTAGTCGAGTACGTGGGAGGAGGAGGCAGGCAGGGAGGCAGGGAGGAGGAGAGGTGAATCGAGAAGGAGCGAAGGACAGAAGAGGGAGGAGGAGTGAGGTCAGGACGGAGGGTTGGGTAGGGGAACGAATAATGACTTCAACATAAAAACTCGGAGGTCCGCGCTGATTTCTCGGATCCGCGCTGGACCCCCCTCCCTGGCGCGCGGAGCGCGCCAGGGGCGGCGCCGGTGGCGCCGCCAGGGTGGCCCAGCGCGGATTCGAGAAATCCGCGCGGACCTCTGAGTTATTATGCTTGTGGCATCCTTCGCTCCCCCATGGGGGGGCTCAGGCTTGTTCACGTGTCGGCGGTTTTCAGATTCCTCGTGGAGTTTTGTTGTGGGTGAGAGGCGCATCTCGTGCGCCCGCACGTTGCCTTGGCTCCCTCGCGCAAGTTCCCCTCCTGTCCGCTTCTCTGCGGCCTGCGGAGGGCTCTCCAGGGCCCGTCGGGGCTCGTCCGGATCATGTCTGCTGTTTGGTTGAGCCCACAGATCAGGAGGTAGCAAAAACACAGACGCAATTAATCGTCGATTCCCCAGAACCTATGGGAAAATATGGCAAGGGGGGGGAAGGCAAAAACCCAGAGACTATGGGGGAATCTGGGGACTCCAGTTCTTTGTGTCCATCTATGTGTGTGTTCCCGGGCCCCCTCAACAGAGCGGGACCCACGGCGGCCCCCCCAGGGGAAGCCTGCACGCAGATGTTGCAACCAGTGGGTGTTCGGGCTGCCGCCTCGACGAGGGTCGGTACTCATCGCTGCAACGTCCCTTTTGCGCCCCTTGGGAGATGCGGCGGCCTCGAAGGCCAGCAGAAAGGGCCCGCGGGGGTCCATAGGGGCGCGGCGTGCTCGAGGGGTGTGCCGAGTCGGGGCTCCGAGGAGCCGGCTCGAGGGCCAGCCGATCGCCCAACATTCACGCAGTGCGTGAGGAGTGTGCCGAAGTGAGGCTCCCATCGAAGTGGAGGGGTCGTTCACTCATGCTTTTACGTTTCTCAGGAGTCTCGAGGCCCAAACCACGTGCTTGCTTCGTGTCCCAGTAGAGCGTAGGGTAGGGCAGACGCGAGGGGCAGTTCGCATTGAGCCCCTTCGTGGCCCTCGGAGCGCAGATCACGAGTGTTTTCGCGTGTGCCAGTAGAGTTAAGTCGGGCACGTCCCTCTAAAGGAGGAACATTCAAAAATTGTCACAAAATAGTCTGGGGACGATTTTTATACTATTGTTGGCTATTTTCGAATCTGTTTCGAATACTGTTAGTTTTCATCCGAAATCCGCCTGTAGGGGAACACGCCCGACTTAAGAGTAGAGTGTGGAGCAGGACATGCGCGAGGGGTGCGCCGAAGCGAAGCTTTCGCGCCCCTGGAGCTGTCACGCGCGTGGGCCTATCGCCATCTGGGAACCGGCGCAATGCGCGAAGGCTTTCCTAGCAAGCCTTCTGCATGCTTCTCACCTCCACCCATCTCCATCGGAGGAGTGGGGAGGAGGAGGAAGATGGGAGGACGAGAATGAGGCTTCTCGATGGTTCGGGCATTCTTGGGGTCCCTTGGGAGGCCTCTCGGCGGCCTCCTGTCGGTTTTTAGGGGGCCTCTGGGGGCCTCTTGGGAGTGTCTGGGGGCTTGGGGCCCCCTGGGGTGTCTTTTGTTTGCGCCTCCGGAGGCCTCCTGAGGGCCTGCTGGAGGTCTGGGGGGCCATCTTTCGGGAAAGGGTTCGTCATGTCAGTTCGGATTCCACCTCTAAGGGCGCTTCAAGGGCCCCAAGAGGTGGAATCCGAACTGACATGTCGAAACTGTTGGGGGCCTCCAGAGGGTTCTGGAGGTCCCCCAAAAGCTTTGGGAACCTCTAGGACCCTCCTGGGAGGCCTCTTGGGTCGTCCTGAGGTCCTGCTCGGCTGTGCCGGGCCCGTCCAGGGAGCCTCTTGGTTGGGCCGGCCTGGGGCGCCTGTCGGGGTCCCCTGGTTCTCCTGGGCCGCCTTGAGGGGTCGGACGGTGGGAAAGGCACAGATCTCCAGACATCATAGGGGAATGCTCCAGTTTCAGTTCCGATGCCGCTCTTGGGGCTTTCTTGGGTCCCTTTTGGGGGGTGTCTGGAAGCCTCTCGGGAGCCTCCTGGGCCACTCTGGGGCCTGCCTGCCATAGATCTCAACCGGAGTGCCCTCTTGGAGCTCCGTCTGCTCCCCTCGGGGCGCTCCTGGAGCGCTCGCGGGGGTCCAAGGTGCCGCACTGGGGAGTTCGGGCATCCTATAGGGGGGTGGGTCCGCTTCTGGGGCCTGCTGGGGCCCCTCCTGAGCCCGTCGGGACTTGTCTGGACCGTGTTTGTCGTTCTGTTTCGGGGGCCTCCTGGCACCCTCTCGCGGCCCTTCTGGGCGCTCTCAGGGACCTCTGGGGCCGTCTTGGAGGCATCCGGGGGCTCCCTCTGGGGCTGCCTGGGGCCCTCAAGGCTCTCTTCGGTGGCTGCTCCTATCGAGGAGGAGGAGGCGGGGGAGGAGAAGGCGGAGGAGAAGGAGGAGGAGTGGGAGAAGGAGGAGGAGGAGGAGGAGGAGGAAGAGCAGGAGGAGGAGGAGGAGGAGGAAGAAGAGGAGGAGAAGGGAGAGGGGGGGGGAGGAGGAGGAGGGGGGAGGAGGAGGAGGAGGAGGAGGAGGAGGAGGAGGAGGAGGAGGAGGAGGAGGAGGAGGAGAGGAGGAGGAGGAGGAGGAGGAGGAGGAGGAGGAGGAGGAGGAGGAGGTAGGAGAGAGTAGTGATGAGGAGGAGGAGGAGTAGGAGGAGGAGGAAGAGGAGGAGGGGAGGAGGAGAAAGAGGAGGAGGAGGAGAAGGAGGAGGGGGAGGAGGAGGGGGCCGTTACCCGGAGACCTCCTGGAACAACACCTCCTGTTTGGCTTTCTTGGGGTGACCTTTCTGCAGCCCCGAGGCCCCATCGCGGGCAATTGTGTCAGGCCTCGGGTCTTCCGCGGTGGCGTCGGGAGCCCTCTTTCTGGGAGCTCTTGGGGTCCCCTGTGGTAATCTTGAGGGCAGTGCTGAAGCCGGAGGCGGAGGAGGAGGATGAGGAGGAGGATGAGGAGAAGGAGGAGAAGGAGGAGGAGGAGGAGGAGGAGGCGGAGGCGGAGGCGGAGGTGGAGGAGGAAGAGGAGGAGGAGGAGGAGGAGGAGGAGGAGGAGGCGGAGGAGACGGAGGCGGAGGAGGAGGCCGAGGCGGAGGAGCAGGAGGAGGAGGCGGAGGAGGAGGCGGAGGAGGAGGAGGAGTAGGCGGAGGCGGAGGAGGACCACCCGCAGGGCCCCAGGGCCCCCCCCCGGAAGCCGGCCGAGGCGTGGGAGCTGCCGCGCAGCCAGCTCGGCGGGGCCTGCTGCGAGTGCTGCCACGGCTGGGCGCGCCGCGGCCTCGCGCCGCCGCCGCCGCGGGTCGTCGTCGTCGCCGTCGTCGTGGTCGTCGTCGTGGTCGTCGTGGTCGTCGTCGTCGTCGTGGTCGTCGTCGTCGTGGTCGTCGTCGTCGTCGTCGTCGTCGTCGTCGTCGTCGTCGTCGTCGTCGTCGTCGTCGTCGTGGTCGTCGTGGTCGACGTCGTCGTGGTCGTTTTCGTCGTCGTGGTCGTCGTCGTCGTGGTCGTCGTCGTCGTCGTCGTGGTCGTCGTCGTCGTCGTCGTCGTCTTCTTCGCCGTCGTCGTTGTCGTCCACCGTCCGGATCACCACCTGGCCGCCGACAAGCCTCAGGTTCCTGGTGCTGCGCCTTCTCTCCCCTCCTTTCGCAGGTCCTATACGAGCTAGTCGCAACAGAGGGCTGCATTCGGCCATCATGTCAGCGAAGTGCTCAATCTATCACCCCCTCCTCTCCTCCTTTCCTCATCCTTTTCTCCTCCTCCTCCTCCTCCTCCTCCTCCTCCTTTCCTCCTCCTCCTCCTCCTTTCCCTCTCCTCCTCCTCCTCCTCCTCCTCCTCCTCCTCCTCCTCCTCCTCCTCCTCCGCCGTTTTTTCTCCGGAGCCGTTTCTTCACAGATGTCGGGTTTGGCGAGGGTCTTTGTGTGCCGAAAGCGGTCGAACATTCATTGTCGTGATTCACTTGCTTACGCCGCACCGCCGACCCCTTGGGGCGGCAGCAAGAGTGAAAGACGGAGTTCGCGGAACGCGCGCGATCGCTGGCAATCTTGGGGCTTCGGCCTGGCTTACGTAGCATGTGGGGTTTGTTTGAAGTTGGGCCTTGCAGGGGATTGTTTTGAAGTTTTCCGTGATCTTGTGTGGGTTGCGTGGGGCCTTCACGGGGCCTGTCCCAGGCATTTTTTTCCACCCCCTGGATAGGCTCGGGGCTCGTTGAGACCCAGCTGGGGGTGTGTCCGGCCAGAAGTTCGAGAATGGAACCAGCTGTGTCGACGAGGAGCTTCCTGAAGGCCCAGAGGGGGCGGAGAGCGCCCAAGAATTAGGAGTCTCATGCCTCGAGCCTCGATCCACCCCGTGTTCCTTCCTTTGCGAAGGGGAGGCGCCGGCCAGGGAGGTCGATCCTCACGCCAGACCCTCGGTGATGGTCCCGGGCACCGAAAACGGCTCGTGGAAGCTGAATTCGAGAAATCTGTGAAACATAATCATTGGACGATTGTGGCCTCGTAGGCCCCTCTTGGGAATGCTTTTGGTAGCCCCGGCGGTGCCGAGTGTTACACATATGTGCATGTATGTCTACATATGTGAAAGAGCGTGTTCTACCGCTGCTGGCGGAAAACCGGGGGGGGCCTTACCGGTTCGAACCCCTCCCCCCCCCCCCCTCCGGAAAACCGGGGGGGGTCACTACCGGTTCGAACCCCTCCCCCCCCTCCCCCAGCTCATCATGAAAAGGGGGGGGGGGTCACTACCGGTTCGAACCCCTCCCCCCCCCCCCTCGAAAACCGAGTGGGGGTGCGGACAGAGGTGGGGACGGTGTTGGTGGGACGGTGGTGAGGGGACAGCGGGACAGTGGTGGGGACAGTGGGACAGTGGGACAGTAGAGGGCCGGTAGTGGTGGGGACAGTGGTGGGGACAATGGTGGGAACAGGGGGGACAGTGGACAGTGGTGGGGACGGTGGTGGTGGGGATTGTGGTGTGGGCACAGTGGGAATGAGGTGGAAACAGTGGGACAGTGGTGGGTACAATGGTGGTGGGGACAGTGGTGAAGGCGGTGGCGAGGACGGCGGTGGGACAATGGGACAGAGGTACAGTGGGGACAGTGGTGGGGACAGTGGGGACAGTGGTGGGAACAGTGGGACAGCTCAGTGGGACAGCGGCGGAGTCAGTGGGACAGTGGGGACAGTGGGGATAGTCGGGCAGTGGTTGGGGCCGTGGAGACAGTGGGGAGAGTGGAACCGTGGTGGGAACAGTGGTGGGGACAGTGGGGACAGTGCGACAGTGGTGGGGGCACTGGTGGGGACACAGTGGGGACAGCGGTGGTGAGGACAGTGGTGCTGGGAACAACAGTGGAGGATGTGATGCGGACGGTGGTAGGGACCGGGAGTCGTTTGCTGGCGGTGAGCAGGGGTTCGTGGAGGATGTGATGCGGACGGTGGTAGGGACCGGGAGTCGTTTGCTGGCGGTGAATGGGGGGGTGGGGAGGGGTTCGAACTGGCGGTAGTGATCCCCCTCCGGTTTTCGAGGGGGGGGGGGCGTGGGGTTCGAACCGGTAGTGACCCCCCCGGTTTTTCCGGATCCAGAGGGGGGGGGGGGGGCGGAGCTCCCCATAGGGGTTCGAAACCCCTAGGGGGAGCTCCCCCTAGGGGGTCACTACCGGTTGCGAACCCCTAGGGGTTCGAAACGGTAATGACCCCTCCCGGTTTTCGAGGGGGGGGGGGGGGGGGGGAAGGGGTCAGGGGAGGGGGGGGGGTTTTGCCGGGGGAGGGGGGGGGAGGGGTTCCAGCAGGGGGGGGGGGGGGATTTCGGAGGGGGGGGAGGGGCGACCCCCGGGCTCCGGAGGAAAAAGTTGGCAATTTTCCACAGTAAGGGGGCGGTGGATCACGCTCTCTCACATATGTATATGTAGAGAGAGAGAGAGAGAGACAGAGAGAGTGGCCTTCGGCCCATCCCGCCACCGTGTCTTGGTCGTCGGCCTGAGATCCTTGGTGCATGGGTTGCGGATTAAAGTTGCATGCCTCAAATGGTACTTGGGGTTTCTTTTGAGCTTCATGGGGGCCTCTTGGGTCCTCGTTGGGGGACCTCTTGGGGGCCGATTGGGGCCTCTTGGGAGGCCTCTTGGGGGCCTCATGGGCCCTGTTGGGCGCCTCTTGGGCATCCCTGAGGCCGCTTTGGGGCGTCGGATTGTTGGTTCAGGCTCCCCCTCTTGGGAGCCCATTGGGCCGTCTTGGCGCCCTCTTGGGCCGTTTCGAGCGCCTCTTGGGAGCATCTTGGACCGTTTGGGGCCATCCCGGGCGTCTTGGGCCGACCTTTGGGCGTCTCGGGAGCTTCTTGGGCCGTCGTGGGGGCCGCTTGGAGCCCCCTGGGGCTCCGTGGGGCCTGATGACACCTTTGCCCTCCCCCCCCCCCCACCCCACCCCACCCCTCCCCTCCAAACTGGCTGGACCGGACTTCCGGGTGAGGGGTTTGGGGAGGGGGAAGCATCTCACACGCCGTGACCCCAAGGGGTCGGCGGATTTTCCCAACGACGCGAGCATATCTGGGATCCTGTCCTATCCGTAAGTCGGGCCTGTCCCTCTGCGTGAGGGATATTGAAAAATAGGAAAACTAGTCTGGGGCATTTTTTTTAGCTTGGTTTATGTATGTATTTTCTCGTTTTTTCTTATATTCAAAAAGGTCGTCCAACATTCCACTGCATAGGGGGACAGGCCCGACCTAGTCCTCGCCTCCCTCCTCTCCCTCCGCCCGAGAGGTGCGCGGCGGCTTCCCCCACACCCACACGGCCGGCCGCCGAGACCGCCCCGGTCCGCCGAGCCGGGCTCTCGATCGACCGATCGGGCTCGCGGCGCTCGATCAAGCGCTCCCCAGATGTCCGACGATGCGATTCTTGTCACTCCCTGCCCAAGAGGAGGAGGAGGAGGAGGAGGAGGAGGAGGAGGAGGAGGAGGAGGAGGAGGAGGAGGAGGAGGAGGAGGAGGAGGAGGAGGAGGAGGAGGAGGAGCAGGGAGGAGGAGCAGGAGGAGGAGGGGAGGAGGAGGAGGAGGTGGAGGAGGAGGAGGAGGAGGGGCAGGAGGAGGAGGATTCGATTCGATTCGCACACCTTCGGCGCCAACCTTGTTTCAGTCATAGTGAGTGATTACATACTCGAGCTATTGTTCAAAATCGCGCAATCGCCAATCGTGATATTTCGCACAACTGCGAATGGCTACTGGCACGGTGAACCTCTAGCATTAAGAGGAGAGTGCATATGCCATGCTCTATGCACCTAGGGCCGTGGCTGAGGTCCCGAGAGAGACCAGCCTGGCCCCATGCAGCCACCGACGCATGAGGTAGCCACGAGGGACCAGGGCAACTAAGAGGTAGCTCGTGATTTAGCTATGCTCAGTATATGCCTACTATTGAAAAGTGTCTCGAATTTGGCGGTCCCTGGGAAAACCCCGCACGAGGCTAGATACTCCGTGATTATATGGGCATCCGAGGGTCGGGCGGGAGGAGGAGGAAGAGGAGGAGGCTGGGAAACATATAAAACGGGGGCCTCAGACGATTTCAGTTCTGGTCGAGGAGGTGGAGGAACATCGGCAGCAGTAGCAGAAGACTCCTTCTTATCCTCCCCCCCTCGCAAGAAACTCAAGCGCTGTGCCTGGGTCCAGGGTGGAGTATCATCTGGTAGATGAAGAGCCTGTAGATCATCATCCAGAGTTTCGCATTCAGGACTTGTAGTTGTAGCGTCCAATGCTGTGGTCGATCGATCATCATATGTAGATTTGTCCACCTTTATTTCAGCAACGTCTCGAGGAATTGTTGAATCTCTCTCTCCATGTACGCTGCTGGGGCACGGCCGTATTTGCGCTTCACACCCTGGATCTGCAGCATCGAACTGATCAGGATGTTGCGAAACGCTGGGTCTCGGCATGAAATCGTGAGGCGACGCTGTTCCTTGTTGTAGACCTTGTCCTGGCGGCAGAATAGCACGAGCTCTCACTTCGTGTCGACTGAGTACTCGGCGTACTCCTTGAAGCATTTGTTGACTTGCTGGGCGTTCTGTGCTCCAATCGCGTCGCCCAGGGACACCAGTCCCTTGAGCAATCCTCCCATGGCCCAAATGAAGGGCGGGCCGAGCTCGTGATCCTTGCCTGCTTTCTTGACGGCCTCGGCGTATAGGACGGTCTGCTCGCTCATCATGGTGATCAGCACGCATGTGGCTGGGAATATGAACGTGTCCAGAACCACTCCTGCGAGATCTCGTCCCTGTTGGCTGACTTTGAGTAGCTGTTTCATAAGAAGGCAGAAGAGCTTGCGAGTGGGGTCGTCGATCTTCTTCTTGAGCGCGGTGGAGACCTCGGCCGCGCTGCCCGTGCCGTCGGTCTTCTGCTTCTTGCTCTTGTCGTTGCCTTTGCCTTTGTCCTCCTCCTGTGTCAGAGAAGATCCTTCGGGGGCCTCGAGACAGGCCGGCATGATGTAATCTTGGTAGCGGATGTGGTAGGTGCAACTCGCGAAGGTGCCGAAACAGCAAGATATTCGACTCAAAAACTACGGAGGGCTTGGGGCATATAGGGCATCTCCATTCATCCAACTGCTCGGCTTCCCAGGACATATGAGCACGGCCCATGGCACATCGACCATATCCATATGATTGTTTAAGATGTTTGCGTGCGTTGTCAGCGTCCCGAAAGATGCTCAGGCAATTGGGGCATTGGTTCGTAGTAACTCCACTATGTAGGATATACTTTACTCGATGTCCGTTAGTCTGGTGGCCCATGAGTGCCCGATAAGTGTCAAATTGGAGACCACAGGGGGAGCCCTCCGAGTTCTCGATCATACACGTAAAGATGTTTTCGCTCTTGGTTTCAGGACAATGTAATTCAGGAAATAAAGAACACCATTTGTCATAATCCGTAAAGGCTGCGGCTCTAAGAATCGAGGGGTCGATCTTCAGAAACTCATGCGAGGACTCGGAGGAGGGGTCGAAGAGCGCCTTCCACGAGAAACCACTATCTTCCCAGACTTCGAAAAAACTCTCGGTCCCACTGATCCCTCGAAAGAGCTGGAGGTTATGGTCGAAGGTTTTGGCCCACGGGTTCGCCGCGTCGCTGAGCTGTCCACAGTCCTGTAAAGTGGGAGCCTCGTCACTGAGGTGGCCAAAAATACCTGCTACCGTCTGACAATGTGCGTGTCGGTGCAGAAGCATGCTCTGTAACCACTTGACTCGACGCACCGCCAGCTCCCCACGGCAAGGGAGAATTCGCCATCTGTACAGCACTTCTGAATTCCGCAGAGAGTGAGTGTGAGAGCCATCGTGGAAAGTGGCAGCACCTCTCATCAGAACTCGTAAATACTTGATGATGCAAGAGTCGATTTTCTGATACTCAGTAGGAGACAGAGCGAAAGCCTCAAGACCTGTGATGCCACTCTCCACTACTTTGCCCAGGAACAGCTCACGCTTCAATCTACGTAAGCCTCGTTCGTGCCAGAATAAACCAATGACAGACCAGCCTGCGTGTATAGCTCGTATACGGAACTCCAGCTCGGTGGCGTTGGAGCCGCGCATGTGGTGGCGTGCACCTAAGTGTCTGGCGCTCGTGCGCACCGTGCCGTAGCTGCTGGGGCAATTCTCCTGGAAGCGCTTGTTCGATTTGTGTGATCCTAGACATGGTATGATGTCTTTTTTCTGCATATTCTGGCGGAAGTGCCATTTCCCAAGGATGTTGTTCATGCTTTCGTCTCCCAGTCGAATCGCCCCCAGAGCCCCTGAAACCGAAGAATCTTCTAAAAGTCGACGTCGAAATAAATCATCAGCGAAACCTACCATAGAGCAGTCCAGAGTGGGGGTCCCGAACGCGCTGTAAATATAGCTGGGGGTCCCGTTGGCCTCGTGGATCTCGTTGTAGCACTTGTCAAAAACGCCTACAAACTGCCTCGGTGCCTCACAAGAGCCCTGGAGTCCCCCATTCTTACAGATAAAAGCCTAAAACTTGTTGTCGATCGGGATTTTGACGACACTGTTAATTAGGCGCTGGTGTGCATAATCCCTCAAATCCTCACGGACCATATCCTCCGATTGAATGAGGAGGTCGTCGGCAAGAGGACACATGAAAGCGTTCGTCATGTCGTGCAGCTCGCATACGTTCGGGGTCTTGGAGTTCCTCAGGGACCATCCTACTCGTAGCTGGACTAGTATAGCTCCTTCTCTCCTCCGATATTTCAGAAAACCATGCCAGTGGCCAGGAAAAGATCTATCAAATTGTTCGTCGCGGTCCCCATAACTATATAATACTGCATACCAATACTTCCAGAAAACATCAGATAAATGTACAATACGTTGACTCAACATCTGGGTCTTGCCGTTGGACTTGTCCAGCAAGACTCCTTCTGTTATACTCGACTTCGTTGGAAGTTGACCAACCTGAAGGGATCGGATCACGAGATTCTCGAATTCCTCTCGAGCACGAGTGAGCTTGGACGTGGAATTCAGCACGTTGTCGCGCCCATCTCTTGCTCTGGTCGTCTGGTCGGTCGGGATGTTGTGAAGCGTCTCTGGGACCGCCATTGGCGGCCTCTCTCCAGGCGTCATGATGAAGTCGAGGGCCTCCTCATTCAGGTCGTCGAAGGGGTCTCGATCAACAGCATCCCATTCAGGTAGTGCTGGCGTCGGTGGTATTGGCTCTCCAGGCCCCGAGACATTGTGATGGAGGCCCAATCCAGGACGTTCCTCAGCTGCATCGGGTAGTTGTGTGTTTCCCATTCCGTCGTAGCCGATGCCAAACTTCATGTTCTTCTGCCGTGAGAGGTGGCCAGGCGCCAAGACTATGAGTGCAAGCTCGGCGGGAACGCTCCAAGAAGGCCCACATCGTCGTCCTCGTGCTCTGCGTAGCTTCCATACCATGTTGTGTAGCATAACCTCCGTTGTCCGTTCCATGCTGTGAGTGCGCGTCTTGATGGTCGCCTCTTCCATCAGAAAATTATTTATCATGCTATCCAGATCGGGAATGTGAGTCGCCTCCATGCCTCCGTCAGCACCAGCTTGAGATAGATGCTGTTGGAGTTCTGGGAGTGTCGGTCGATATGAGGTAATCGTGTTGTAGCGTCGGTTCTTCACACCAGTAGATCGGCCAGATAGAAGTCGAGCCAGCTTATGTACTTCGGCCTGTTGTCCAGCTGCTCGAGCCTGTCGAAGTTCTTGGTATAGCCGTTCGCGGTGTAGTGCACGACGTCTGCGGGCCCATCGACGGAGCTGGTTAGATATCCGTTTGATCTTCTTCAAGCAATCCAAGTGTGTGTCGTCATAGCTCTGGTAGTGACCGTAGATGGCGAAGAACTCTGCTGCCTCAGCTCGTTGTGCGCGACGTTCTCGGACAAGTCGAAGTCGTTCTTGTTGGAGTCGACGCTCTACGGTGTCCACAGGTCGGTCGGGTATGGCAAAATGATTTAGGCCAACTCGCTGCACGACCTCGGCCCAACGATTGTAGTAGTTATCCGTGTGTTGGTCATTCTCATTGCAGTCGGCAAAATATGTGGTTTGGGCCTTCATCTCTCGTTCAAGTTCCAAGTGAAAAGCTTCTCGATGAGCTCCGTTCTGGAGAGCCTCGGCCAATTTGTTGTGGTCCCATCGGGGTCGCAGAGTGTTCGGCATCGTCACGGGAGACTCGTACTGCATAGCTAAGATAACGGGTACATGGTCTCGTGGGGCGCTCCGAGGGATTAGCTGTAGGACGCGGCCAGCTCTCCAAGCAACTCGACAGTGTTTTACTCCAGGTCCTAGTCCCTTTGGGATTGCGAAGATGTCCAATGTCGATTTGTCTCCCTGAGGTCCATAATATGTGGGTCCCGACTGTAGTGTATAGCTTCCAGGGGCCATGAGGTCGAGGTCTAATAACATGTTTGAGAAAATCTCTCCAGATGGGCCGTTTTTTCTTAAGTGATGGGGTCCGATGTGGTTCTGGTCGGGGTCTACCAAGCTTCCGTCTTCCCAGAGTCCGAATCCTGAATTGATGTCAATGCCTATTATCGGGGTACTTCGGGAACGACAACGTTCGACTCGACTACGTACATATCGCATTACAGTAGTAGCGGCCGTCACTTGGGCCTTCCGTTTTGTCCCGTCCGAGTAGGTGGGTGGTGGGTAAGCACATATGACAGTGATGTCCAGGAGTCCAGATTTAATTCGTAGTTCCCCATATCGACCTGGTGCGTTTGTAGGGCCAGAGACGATTGAATAGATATGTTCGGCGCGAAATCGACGACCTAGAATAATACACACTCCCGCACTCGTATTGCTGTATGGTGCACGTCTCCATCCATAATGTACTGCAGTGAATTTGCCTCCTCCTAAATTCTCCGTGTGGTATGTCCTTCCCTCCCATTCACGTATACACGTGCCAGGCATCATCAATATGTCCACGTCGAGCTCCTGGGCTATTTCCAGCGTTCTGCCTGCCGTGCATAGAGACAACGGGTTATACAAAGCGGCTCGAATGAGACTACACATAATAATCATCCCACAGGCCCCTCGTACAGCTCGACTCATCCGTCAGTGACCGAACATGGCAGGCACTTGAGAGGGACGAACGCTGGGTGAGGGCCAAAGTTGGGGACGCCGCCGCTGTAGAAATCCTTTGGGAGGGGAAATGGCGGCTAGGAGGAGGAGGAGGAGGAGGAGGAGGAGGAGGAGGAGGAGGGCCGAGCTCGGCCTCAGACCCCAACATCCGCCGCTCCTATGTTTCAATCCGCGGCACCAGAGCTATGCTGTTCCCCTCGGACTTCATCAAGGACTACGTCTCAGAAATATCCTCGAGCACCCGGAGAAAGGTATCGCAACGGCGTCGAGCGAGTAACGCATCCCAGGGCCCCACACGTGAACATCCTCCAGCTTCGGTACTTCCCTCCCAGACATGCGACGTCCTAATTTTTGTCGGAACGGGGTCCCTCGAAGTCCCGACCGTTTCCCTGGGACCAGCTTTTCATCCTGAGTCGTTTTTTGACGCTCCCGAGGCCCGGCAAGGGCCCCCGGGGGCCGAAAACGGCCCGACCCCCCCCTCAGGAGGGAAAAACACATACAGACACAAGTAATCGTCGACTCCCAGGAAAGTATCGGAAAACATTGGCAGTGGGGGGGGGAACAAAAACGTTCAAAATAGGAGGAAATATGGGGAATCCTGGGGTTTGTCCATGGGCCCCTTCACTCCCGTCCTGATTGCGAAGGCCTTACGGCCGGTGCCGCCGACCCTGAAGACGACGAAGATATGAAAGGGAGGAGGAGGAGTGGCAGGAGGAGGAGGAAGGGGTGCGTCGGTCGATTTGTTCTCGCCTGTTGCCTCCTTTCGCTGCGGCTTATCCCGCCTGAGAGAGGGATGAGGTTAGGAGGAGAGCGGCCCAGAACCTCCCGTCCTGACTTCTCCCTGCGACGCGATCCAGTCTGGGGCGTGCTGCTTCGAGGTCGGCCCCTGCGGGGCGGGCCATGTGTGTAGTTATCTGCGTGTCGCTACTTGTGTGTCCGTCCGTCCTCCTCCTCCTTCTCCTCCTTCTCCTCCTCCTCCTCCTCCTCCTCCTCCTCCTCCTCCTCCTCCTCCTCCTTCTCCTCCTCCTCCCTTCACTCCCGTCCTGACTTCTCCCTGCGACGCGATCCCGTCTGGGGCGTGCTGCTCCGAGGTCGGCCCCCGCGGGGCGGGCGAGGGGGCCCCAGGGAGCCCCTGCCGGCGCGGCCATTCCGGGGCGAAGCGCGAAGCACATGCGGGAGGGCCTTCCTGGGGCGCCCCTTATCTGTCAGCCGGGCCTGTCCCCCTACACGGGGAATATCCAAAAGTAGTCCAAAAATAAGCTGGGGCTATTTCCGGACTATTTTGTGGCATTTCTTATGTTTTTTTCTGGTATTCTGAAGCCCCACTTAAACCTGACTCGAAGAAGAACAAATCACCAGGAGGAGGAGGAGGAGGAGGAGGAGGAGGAGGAGGAGGAGGAGGAGGAGGGCCGCGGGTGCAGGCCGCACGAAGGGCCTCCAGGGCGGCCTCCCGAGGCGAACCAGTTCTTCACGCCGCTGATGTGGGCCAACTTCTGCCGTCTCGGGCGCGAGCTGTGCGAGCCCGCGGTCCAGGCTCGGTTGGGGCAAAAACATATACATGACATAAACATGACATAAACATAAATCGCCCTTCGGCGATTCCTTATGCGGCCCCTGGTGCCGCCCCCCATTTCGGCGCACCCCTCACGCAGATTCTTGGCCTCGGTTCGGGGAACGAAGCATGACATAAACATAAAACACTCTGAGGTCCGCTCGGATTCCTCGGATCCAGCGCCGATCCGAGATGTCCGCGCGGACCTCCGAGACTGTGCGTTTATGTCATTCTTCCTTCCCCCAGAAATGGAGGGGCATCGGCTGGGGGAAGCGTGGGAGGTGCGACACCCGGTGCCCGCACCTGGTTGCGGCCCCGCCGCGCTGGGGACCTGCCCTCGGTGCACTGGCGCCCCCGGCGCCGGAGGAACTCGGCTACGGGAGCTGGGGCTCAGGAGGGGAAACGACGCACAGAGACAAAGAATCGTCGGTTCCCAGGAAAAATGGCAAAAGATGCGACGCGCAAGTGGAGACGAGCATCTAGAAAACATTGAAAGCACAGTCAACCCGCATGGTAACGATGGGCAACCGTCCCAAGACCACCCTTGCATCCTTGCCCCGTCGACCCATCCTTAGCGATTCTCGCTGGCCAACATCGGTCGAAAGACGTTGACATGTGCCTCCAAGGCCCTTGCATCCTTACCGGAGGAGGAGGAGGAGGAGGAGGAGGAGGAGGAGGAGGGGGAGGAAGAGGACGAGGGAGAGGAAGATGATGATGAGGATGATGATGATGATGATAACGATGATGATAACGACGATGATGATGATGATGACGATGATGATGATGATGATGATGATGATGATGATGATGATGTTGATGATTATGATGATGATGATGATGACGATGTTGATGATGATGATAAGGAGGAGGAGGAGGATAAGGATGATGATGTTGATGATGATGATGATGCTGATGATGGTGGTGGTGTTGATGATGAGGATGATGATGAGGATGATGAGGATGATGAGGGTGATGATGGTGATGATGATGATGATGATGCTGATACTGATGATGTTGATGATGATGATGCTGATGATGATGATGATTACGATGATGATGATGATGATGATGATGATGATGATATGATGATGATGATGATGAGATGATGATGATGATGATGATGATGGTGAGGTTGGTTTAGTAATGGGAGAATGATAGATGATGATGAGATGATGACGATGATGAATGATTATCCCGATGATGAAAGATGAGATGATGATGAGATGATGAATATGATGATGATGAATGATGAGATGATTGATGATGATGAATGATGAAGGAGAGAGAGGAGGATCGATGAGGAGGAGGAGGAGGAGGAGGAGGAGGAGGATGAGGAGGAGGAGAGGAGGGAGGAGGAGGAGAGGAGTGAGGAGGAGGAGAGGAGGAGGAGGAGGAGGAGATGACGCTCCAGGCGCTACAGCGCCCCCGCATCCAGCACAAGACAAGGAGAGAGGAGGAGGAAGGAGAGGAGAGGAGGAGGAGGAGGAGGAGGAGGAGGAGGAGGAGGAGGAGGAGGAGGAGGAGGAGGTAGGAGTAAGGGTGGAGGAGGAGGAGGAGGAGGAGGAGGAGGCGGAGGCGGAGTGCGGAGGCGGAAGGAGAGGAGGGAGGGAGGAAGGAGGAGGGCGGAGGCGGAGGTGGAGGAGGAGGAGGAGGAGGGAGGGAGGAGGAGAGGAGGAGGAGTGGGCCTACCGCTGGAGCGCACCTCGGCTGCGCGCTGCGCCACGCACGCATGCTGCGCCCCTCCTCCTCCTCCCCCCTCCTCCTTCATCTCCTCCTCCTCACTCCTCCTCCTCCCTCACCTCCTCCTCCTCCTCCTCCTGCTCCTCCTCTCCTCCTCCTCTCCTCCTCCTCCATCCTCCACCTCCTCCTCCTCCACCTCCTCCCAACTTCCCCCTCCTCCTCCTCCTCCTCCTCCCTCTTCCTCCTCCTCCTCCTCCTTCTCCCTCTTCCTCCTCCTCCTTCTCCTCCTGCCCAGACCCCCGACGCCATGTTTTCTTGTCATGGCGTCGACCGGGACCGGGACTGTCGACCCAAAAACAAACGACCCCACCCCACCCACGGCCCTACATGTTGCGCTACGGGCTATCGGGCGCCGTAGCGTAGCCCATGCAAGAGCCCGCGACAGAATACGCTGAGCCCCGTGTGGACGCAGGTGGGGTGGTGTCGTTTGTTGTCTGGTCCACGAACGAAGGTCATTCTTGCCTGGGGTCCTCAGGCCCCCGACGCCATGGCTTTCTGTCACAACGCCGACCTGGACCGGTGTCGCATCCGGTGGGTCGCTTGTCTGACGATCTCGCGAGGCCCGCAGAGGGGCTCTGCAGAGGCCGAAGCCTACAGTCTATAGCCAAAGCCGCCCGTCGTGACTGTGCCATGGCCCGAGGAGGTCTGGGGTCACTCTGGCTCGAGTCCTCCTCCTCCTCCTCCTCCTCCTCCTCCTCCTCCTCCTCCTCCTCCTGGGGTCACTCTGGCCCGAGGAGGAGGATGGTCCTTCCCCCTCCTCCCTCCTCCACCTCCTCCTCCTCCTCCTCCTCCTCCTCCTCCTCCTCTCCCTTCCTCCTCTCCTCCTCCTCCTTCCCTCCTCCTCCAGCCCTCCTCCTCCTCCTCCTCCACTCCTCCTCCTCCTCCTCCTCCTCCTCCTATCCTCCTCCTCCTCCTCCTCCTCCTCCTCCTCCTCCCCCCCCCCTCCTCATCCCTCCCCTCCTCCTCCGCCTCCTCCTCTTCCTCCTCCTCCTCCTCCTCCTCGTCGCCGGCGTCGCCGTCGTCGACGTCGTCGCCATCGGACGGTGACGGATGAGATGCAGCTCCGGGGGTTTGCTAAAGGTGCCCGTGGCCCAAGGTGGCCCCCAGCTTCCCGCACCATTTTGGAGCCACTGGGGCCCTCTGGGCCTCGTGATGGGGTGCTCTGGAGGCCCTCTGGGCCACCCCGAGAGTCCTCGGGGCACCTTGGGCCAGGAGTACTTTTCCAGCAGCACCCGCCTGGCGTGAGGGCGGCAGCCCCTGCCCGACCCCGAGACCCCGGCGCTGCAGCTTTTGTTTCCTGCCGGGCGCCTTCGCCCAGTTTCAAGCAATGGCGAAGCGTCCCGGCGTTGATATAGCCATACCAAACAATGTTCAAAGAACCGGTTGTAGTCTCCACGGAATGTTCTTAGAACATGTTTTCCTGGGACTGTCTTGCTTGAACGCCTGAGGTTTATGTTCTAAGAACGTTTTTGTTCTTCGAACATCTCTGGTTTCTAAGAGCATTTCGTGGTAGGACTATAGGAATGCCGGGACGGCCAGTCCCTGCTCAACAGTTTCGGGCCGCCCGGGACCCGCACAGACTGATCCGGCTCGAAAAAAGTGACGCAGGAGGGGTTGTCCAGGAGGGGTCCCCCAGGGGCTTCGCGCCCCCTGTTTCGACGAAGTTCCGAGGCCCCTGGGGGGCTCTTTGGACAACCCCCTCCCCCCAAAAACCCCCTCTTTGGAACCCTCCGGAACAAGATGGGGGTCTGGGGCTCTGGTGGCATTGTTTTTTTTGCAGTGTTGCATGTTTTTTTTGGTCGCAGCGTCGGATCTCAGGGCACCCCCCGCCCGTCCGACCCGACAGGCCCTCTCCGCCCGCCAGCACGCCGCGCCGCAGCGCGCCGCGCCCGGCGCGGCGGCAGCCGGCAGGGCGCCGCCGGGTGCCGCGGCGGGCTCCCCGCTGCCTTAGCGTGAGGCCGCGGGCGCGCTCTTGCGCGCAGCGTCGGCGGCGGACGTCGTCGGCTGCTGTCGTCGGTGCCCCGTGGCGGCGGCGGCTTCCTCCGGAGGTCCCTGCCGGCGCGGCAGCCGGAGTCCTAGGCATCGAGCGCAGTGGAGACGTCAAGGCGGAGGCTGTTTGGTCGCCTGCGGCCTCCGTTGGGCCTTACCGGACAGCCCGCCAAGACGACTCGACAGGGGAGATCTGCACCAGCACGCTCGGCATTGGCATCCGAGTGGGCCTGTGCTATGCCCAGTGGGTTTCGCCAATCGACGTGTGTTTGGCCTGGTACATTCGCTGATTTTTGGTCGTCGACTGGCTACAGTCGGGGCGTTGACCTAAGGAACCCTAAATAAGGAACGAGGCCCCTTTTTTCCATGAGTTAAACTTCGACTTACGATCGAAAACATAAGGATAACATGAGGCAAGTTGCGAAGCACTTAAGGAACGCGGAGCCCCTCCCCAACGAAAGGGTTCCTTCTTCAGGGCCCCGACTGTATCCTGCCCAGGTCCACTCGGAATGTGGTTCCGTTCGCACGTGGAGTGCCCCTGGAAGCGTGCACTGAAGGGGTGCTTTCTCAATCCACGACTGGGGCCCTCGCTGGGCCCTGTGATTGCCAACAAAAAGGCTCAGGATAAAACGCCGGCCCCAGGGAGCGGGTCTGGGCTTCTTGGCGCACCGTGTCCCCGTGTGATTCGACGTTGCAGAAAAAATGGAGCATCGCGAGAAGGCCCGACCAGCGCCACAGACCCCGTCTTCCTGCGGTATGGTTCGAACCCGATCGATCAGTGATTGTCTCGGGGCCCGAATCCGGGTGAAAACTCCAAGTGGCAATGAAACGCTGCATCTTCATGTCTCATCAGTGCAACAGCTGATGTCTCTGACTTTGGGGTGTCTCCCCCCTGCGCACTGACGGGGGCCCCCAGCAGTGCAGGCGGCAGTCTCCTCCCTGGCTGCGAGCTGCCTTGTCGGGCCTTCCCGCAGCAGATCCCGCCCTGGAGTGGCCGCGAGGCTGCTTCAGGGCGGCCCCCTGGTAATGGAGGATGACGATTAATAAATGACCGGGGGTCGTGCTCGCGCGCCGGCGCCCGAGCAGAAAACTATTTTTTTTTAATCGTTTTCTCCCATTGTTTTATTACTCGTCATCCCGCAGTAGCCAAATATTACTTTTAACTCGCATGCCCTTCTCAAAGGAGGAATCTTCAAACATACTTTCAAGACATAGTCTGGGGACGATTGTCGACTTGAGCGTCGAGGGCAGAGGCACCCTGTCGCCCGCAACTGCAGCAACATTGGCAACGCCTGGATCTCAGGTCGGGGCAACGTAAGACTCGAGTGAGTCGGAACTCGGGCTCGCCGACGTTTTTGTTGGCGAGCGCGTCCTGGATGTTGACGGAAGTTCGCGCCAAATTTCAAGTTGGGTCTCATCGTTGATGGTTTTGACGGTCCGGTGGTGGTGGGATGCTTACAGGGCGAGTTCGCGTCAGATTTCAGATGGGGTCTCGTCATTTTCGTTACCGTGAGGCCAACCCGAGTCCCCCGGACCCGAGTCTTTCGTCTCCCCGATCCGGGTTGGGTTATCGGGCTGGGAGGCAACATTCTGGGAGACAGTTGTCGGGTTGGGAGGATGGGGCCGGGAGAGATGGGAACATCGTTTCCAGTTGGCGGCCGAAGGTATCGCGCATTGCATCCGAACGGTATTGCTCATACCCTTTATCCTCCCAACACGACAATTTCGGCGTCACCCCAACATACTTATACTATACGTGCGTCGCCCACCCAGGGGCGACGCGCGCACCGAGAAATCTTCTAGTATGTGCGTCGTGGCGGGCGCTTTCTGGCCACCCCGCTCGGGCACGGATACAGTACAAGATGGGTATACTATATGTTCGGGTCGTACGCGCGCCTCCAAGGAGGACGTATAGTATTAGCATGTCTCAGTGCGTCCCAAGATTGCTCCCCTCAAATATTGGGGGACGCGGGTCCGGGGCACTCGGGCTGGCCTGACGGGCCGCGTCGCATCCTGGGCAGGCGGGGGGGCGATCCCCCCCTGCGCTCCCGCTGCTGCCCCCCCCCCTCCCCCCCTCGCCTCCGCCTGCTGCTGCTGCTGCTGCTGATGCTGCTCCTCAGCCGCCTCACGCGTGCAAGGGATGTTCCTGCTCCTGCTCCTCCCGTTCCTGTCCCTGGAGCCTCCTGGTCCTCGTCCCCCGCCAGCTGCCGTTTGTGATGCGCGTGCTGCTGTTGCTCTGCAGCTTCCCCCTCCAGTTCCTCCCCCTCACTCCCTCCCCTTCCCCTCTCCTCCATCCCTCTCCTCCTCCCGTCGCCCTCCTCCATCCCCTTCTTTATTCTCTCCAGAGCCCCGACGCCCCGAAGTCATGTGTTCGTTTGTTGTGACAGCGTGGACGCCCAGATGAGGCTTACGACATCGCCCAGATGTCTGGACCCTTTCCCCAGGATGACAGTCAGCCATGATAGTAAGGATGGGCAACCTTCCCAAGGGTACCCGTGCATTCTCGCCTCCTCGGTCCATCCTTGGCCATTTTCGTTGGCCGCGCCCCGCTCGAGAAGTGTCGAAATGGGCGTCCAAGGCCCTTGCATCCTTTTCGCGCATCCTTACTATACTGGTTGACTGTAGCTTTCCATTTTCCATCCCGAATCGTATTCTTGTTTGTGAGTTTCGGGTCCTGGTGAGGGCCGCCGGAGCCCGAACACAGCCAGAAGCATCCCGTCGTGCTTTTCTTTTGTTCACAACGCGATGGGGGTCTGCAGTGTCCTCCTCCTCCTCCTCCTCCTCCTCCTCCTCCTCCTCCTCCTCCTCCTCCTCTCTCCTCTCTAGCTCTCCTCCTCCTCCTCCTCCTCCTCCTCCTCCTCCTCCTCCTCCTCCTCCTCCTCCTCCTCCTCCTCCTCCTCCTCCTCCTCCTCCTCTTCCTCCTCCTTGACCCCCATGCGTTCTCCTTCTAATCGCTCCTCCCTGTCGCACCCCCGGGACGCGCCGGTCAGGCAGGCCTTGCCTGTCGCCCGAGGCCCCCTCGCAAGGCGTGGCCCTGGAGCCCGGCATTCGCAACGGCAGGGGCAGCGAGGAGGGCAGCAGGGGGAGGCAGCCAGGGGCGACGGCCCCGGGCCCAGGGAGGGGGAGGAATTCGGGCGTTGCAAGTTTCGGAGGCGGAAAAGAGGGGGGTGATGACTAGGGGGGGGGGGATATCATGGCGTGGGCCATGATATTTCCCCAGATTTCATGGCGCCTCTTCTCATTTCATCACGTCCCTGGCCCCCCCCGCTGGTCCGCGCACATGCCGACGGTCATGATTTGCACCCCCCCCTCTTGGACACCCCCCTCTTGGCCGCTCCCGAAATTTTCTCATGCCGGGCGTTGTCGCTCAATTTCAGACCGCCCGGGACCCTTACAGATGGATCCGGCTCGAAAGATGACGCAGGAAGATGGGGCCCGGGGCCCCGGTCGTGTTTTTTTGGCGGTGCCGCACTGCTTTTGGCGACGTCGGATCTCGGGGCAGGGGGGAGGGACGGCGCCGGGGGGAGTGGACGGGGGGAAGGGAGTGGACGGGGGGAGTGGACGGGGAGTCGACCAGACGTAAGAGTGACCTTTCGCCGGAGTGACCTTTGGCGCGGGCCCACTAGGGTCCCCCGATCGCTGAGCGCGCTACGACAGAAACCTCTTGCGCACTCGTGCTGGGTACCCCCGCGGTCCCTAAGAAGCCGCGCACCAGAGGTCGCTCTGACTCTGACCCAAAGGTCACTCTTGCGTGTAGCCGTCAGAGGTCGGCACCGCCTGCACCCCGCACCCTCCAGCCGCCTGAGGCCCCGCCCGCCCGCGCCCTGTCTCCCCAATTAGTGCTTTGCGCGCCCCGCCTAGCTCTTAACCGGAAGAGGCCCGCTCTCGACCTGCAGACCAAAGAAGTGCAGCTGACAGAGGGGAGGGGAGCCAGAGAGAGGGCAGCAGCGCGCGCGCGCAACCTCCCCGCCCCCTCCCCCTCCTCCACGCGCCGCGCCGCACCGCCTCGGAGGGCGGGCCGCTGTCAAAAGGGCGGCGCTCTCTCGCGCGGGCGTCGCGCACACCCGTTTTCGCGGAGGGGGGCAGCAGCTGCGGCGGGTGGAGGCCGCGGGCGGCTTCTCGCGTGTGGCTTTCGCTTCAGCGCCGCGCGCGGGCGTCGCCAAGGCTTGCACCGGCTCCCAGCATGGCGGGCGGTGCCCTCTCGCCAGCTGCCCCTCGCCTCGGCGCTGCGCGCGTTCGCCTCCGAAGTTTGCGGCAACGGGGTGAGGGCGGCTCCGCTTGAACCGGTGGCTCTCGCCGCAGTGCCGTGCACGTGCGTCTAGTAAGTCTGCAGCAGCTCCGAGAGCGCGTATGGCCAAAGTTCAGGTATTGCGTTCTGGCATGAAGTGTAAGGTGTCCTAGATTATGGATGCTTTTGAAGTGGGAACTTGGATGGAGGATATACGTCAACATCGCTGCTGCGTCTTGGGTTTACACTGGTCATCCTCTTCTTCGGTCGGTCGGTTGGGGCGTTGGCGTCCACAGACGCAACCCATTTCCCCAGGGAGATGGGCAGTGCACAGCGCATGAAGAGACGACGACAGTAGTGACATCAAGGGTGACAATTTAGCCAATGGCAGCCAACCCGTTGAAACCTGCAAAATTTGTCCCAAAATCTGAGGTGAGAGATAGTTCAAGCGGAACATAGAACTGTCCGAATTACTCCTGCTGCCGACTCACCTACCCCTCCCCAGGACAGACCGACCGATTTACCTCCGAGAAGCATGCCGCAGCAAAGGGTCGTCACATCCTGTGTGGCACTTTCAGCGAATCCAGCTCCAGAGGCTTCCAGACGAACTGCCCAGGGATGTGCCGGAACATTGGCAAGGCCCTGCACTTCCAGGAAACAACCCTCGCAGGCCAGCAACCCGATGGGCGTGCGGATCCAGCTCTGGGCTTGAAGCGCCCCCTGCCCCTCGCCCA